CAAAAAACTTAACCTAAGTGTGACCCCAATGCGACACCTTTGTAACTACTACAAGTATATAGCTGTAGCTATTCTCTTAATAGTCGAGCTAAATTGATTACAAGTATTTTCGAAGAATGATCTGAAATTTCGCACACAAGTTAATAGTTATATTCAAATAGTAGGAAACCTCAAGAACATATAACTCATGTCAAAAATCAAGAAGATATAATTCCAAACATGTCAAAAATCCTCAGTGGAGTCCCTTTAACTTTACACTTTGAATAATACTAACAGTTTTAACTTGTACACATTGTTTTACATAAATATAATTTTTAACTTTTTTCAATATTTACAATATAAAACTATCCAAGAAGGAATCACTAAAATATAACATGTAAATGAAACAATTTATGTATACCATTTACTTGTCATATTTATCATCTAACAAGTATTCATTATTATACAATTGACTATTCCTCTGCATCATATAATCCTATATATCATATAATTTGTAATAAGATATACTGTTCCACTTTACTATATATCATATAAGTGGTATTTATTATACAATTCCCTTGTCCTTTATAACATATAACTGGTATTCATATAATTATACCATTCCCTTGTCCAATATATCATATAACCGGTATTTACATAAACCAATCATTTGTCCTATATATCATATAACCAGTATTTACATAAACCAATTATTTGTCCTATATATCTTACAACTGGTATTAGTATAAATAATTCCATTGTCTTAATATAGTATAACAGGTATTTACATATAACATTCCTTTGCTTTATATAACATATAACTGGTATTCATTTATACCATTCCATATTTCTTTATATCTTATAACTGGTATTGATATATACCATTTCCTTTGCATATTTAACATATAACTGGTATTTTTATATACCAATCACTTGTCCTATATATCATATAACTGGTATATATCATATAACTGGTATTTATTAATAATATTCAACTGTAAATACCATTGAAATATTTCTTACATATACCATTCCCTTATCCTATCATATAATATAATAATTCACTGCATTTCTTTCATTTATTTATTTAAATACACATTTGAATATTACTTTCATCAATTTCAATATTACTACAATGATCAGAAATTGATATTTAATGAACTGTTTTTGATGATTGTTATCTATCATATTGTATTACATTCATTATTTAACATATCAATATGTAACTTTAGTATTTTTATTTTTTTTGCTGATAATGTTTATTTTAATAATTATGTCTTTTATCATGAAATAATTTAGATTAAGCACTATGTTAACTCACGGATTTATATTACAAGGATCGAACACTATATCGTTTTGCTTAAAATCTCGTCGCGCGCATTCGCGGAATCGCATATCGGATAAAGGTGGACATAATGAGAGATGGCGGAACGCGCGGAGTGCGAAATATGACAGATTTTCACAAGAGTATGTGGTGTTATGGCAGCTTTGTGAAAATTTTTACACATATTAATGTAATTATACAGTATTATTTTGTGTCGCTAAAGTATTAATATATAAAAATATTCCGCTGCAACGCTGAGTTAAAATAGTACCTAATTTAAAAAATATTCGTCTATTGTTTAGGCATACTCTCTACACTTTGACGCCCTTTAACTTGAAGCACAAATTATTACCGCGATTCAGATTAAGATAATTAATTTCTACATGGTTTAATGGTTGCAATGCAAAAAAAGTTTCTTGATTGCTTAAAAACTTTTAAAGAAATTCATGTTTGAAATTTGTCTTTTTTTTCTGTGAATTATTTCCAAATGATTTGAACATCTTTTATTTGATTACCTGAATATTAGTATAAATGTAGTATTCTACTAATTAGTGTATTAAATATATTTTCAGATCATTGAAAAAAGCGTTCATACATAGATGAATTCATTATATTGGCAAGGAAGAAACTTTTATTGGCATACAGAACAGCTGTTTTATAATATTATTTTTTATGTTGACACAAAATTTTTCATAGTTATCCTTCACAATTCCCGTCAAATGATTTATTTGTCATATGTTTATTTTCATTTTTTCAACGAAAGGACTTGTATATTTTCAATTTCATTTATAAATGTTAATAAAGAAAATAGATTTACATTGTATTTATATCTATCATCTTCAGAATCATTTTCTTATTACACATACAATGGACTGTAGTTTAAGACCACGCACATACAAAATATACATTCAAATTCTATTTGTTTTTGAAGATTGATTGTTGCAATTATCACATGCAACCTGGTAATGAAATGTTGAAAATAAAGTTTTTCAATTATTACTTGTTACCTGGTAATTAACCCCTTTCAAAAGTAATTAAACTTCAAAGACATTTTTAAAGCGATGTCACGGATTTATATTACAATATAAATCTGTGGCGATGTGTAAAAAATAATCAACAGTTACTTTTATTTCGCATAATACTGACTCAAACTGTAAAGATTTTAATTGTTTTTCTAGTGTTACATTAAAAAATATCAGAAATATCTTTCTACAGGCATCTAAATAAAAAGAATAATTAAAATATACGAGTGACATTAAAAAGGCCGGAATCGAGACAGCCACACGAGAGTAGGGCCTACTTTACTGTCACGATGATTGTCTACTTAACTGCACCGACAGATAATAATGATACAAATTATGAATGAAATTTGAATATTGTATGAATATGGCAATATTAAACTCTCGGCAATATTTTGTACTAAAAAATGAATATCTTCTTCACGTGTTGAGTGAATATAATTGTAAAGCCTGCAATACATTACCCGTAAAACAATTGTGCGTTAATAAATTTGACTACATAACCCAATAAATCTTAAATATTGCATATTTGATCAACTGTGAATAACTTACATTGGCTTCTTTTTTATTTTGAAATTGAATTTAGTACGTGTCCATAATAATTAATTTGAAATACCTGCTTTTTATATAAAAAAATGTAAATTTACCGCGGATTTCGTCAAGTTATTTTTCTTAATCGCCGTTGCCGACAAATAAACTATACATTGAAAAAATAAATTAGATATTTGAATTGAACAAGTATTTTTCTTCAAAATAAACTTTAAATTTCAAAAATGGGATAATAAATGGAAAAGCTATATGGTATTTTGTAAAGTAGGAATCCGTTGCGAACGGGCATTTACGCTTAGCGCCGGTAGATTATCGATCGATGTACCTTTATCGGGTGCACGACAAGATATTTAAGCATTTATATAGGGTTAACTGGGAGTGTCCGATCCCTGTAATATAAATCCGTGGTTAACTGCATGTATTCTATCTCACTATGTTAAATATTCAGATCATTTCTTTTTTGTCAAAAATGAACAAAAAAATTATCTCTTTTAACATGCAATAATTTAGTTTAATCACTATGTTAACGTCATGTATCCTATTTCACTATGTTAAATTTTCAGATCATTTCTTTTTTGTCAAAAATGAACAAAAAAATTATCTCTTTTAACATGCAATAATTTAGTTTAATCACTATGTTAACGTCATGTATCCTATTTCACTGTGTTAAAGATTCAAACCATTATTTTTATTGTTAATATTGAAAAAAAAGTTCAAACACTATGTAACTAAATGGATACTTTATCACTTTTCTGTTGAAAATATAAACAAATCATCATCATGTTTAACATGAAATAACTGATCTCTATTGTTTACATACTGTTTAGCATCATTTCCCTTCCCTTCTCTTAGTCCTTGTGTTATCAATGTAAACATATCAACATCATTAAACTCCTCACCATCTCCTGTCATATAACAGAACATACTCACATCTACAGTATGAGGAATATGAGGAAGACTATCAACAAACTTCTGCCATGTTGTCAAACTCATTATGACTTCATAAAGCTCAATGTTCTTTAAACTCTTCATCTCTAAAGGTAACTGTATTATATTGTCAGTTAACCTACAATACCTTAACTCAAGCTTACTGAGATTGTGTAACAATGGTAATACTGTGACTAGTCTCTTTGTTATGTTGGTATGATATAATTGAGATTTATTGTTATCATCTCCATACAATTTAAGTTCTTTTAATTTGTTAGATTTTCTAATAATATCAAATATTTTCTCATAATTACTATCTTTCAATTCACTAAATTTAAATATTTCAAGGTTTGTAGTATCAGCATCTATCACACTAACAGTATTATACAAATAAAGGTACTGAAGTTGTTGATGTTTTGATAAATTTACATCATGCTGGTTCTCACACTCACATTTAACATTAAAAAGATGTATTTGTTCAAGATGACTGGTTCTCTCAAGAAAATTACAAAATGTAGTAGTATCATCATGACTCATTGTTATACCACTCATACTTATTGCTACAAGATTGATCATACTAGGTAGGTTACTAACAACTGTTTTACACACTGGGTAATACTTGTCAGTGTAAGAGACACCAGCAAGAGACAGAGATTTTAATGTTGAAGTATTTACTTTAATTGTCTCAGAAACACAATTGTTTATCTCATCAATCAACTGTTCATTACTCTGTGTACTACTAGTATCACTTTGTGATTCATATCCATATTTATTTCAATTTTTTCAAGATGATGAAACATTGGTAAATATTTTGTAAATTTAACATTTTTTGTGTTGATGGCATCTACCTTAATAGACAGAACAGAGTCAGGAACAATTTGATGCTGATCAATACCTGAACAAACAATATCACAAGACTGACCCCCTCTACCAATGACCAAATCTCCTATATAAAATACAGGATTACTTCCTATATTACATGTTGCATTAAATTCTTCCATTGAGTCAAACATAAGCTTTTGAATATCAGTAATACAACGATTATCCATATCTATTGTTCTCCTGAATTCCTGACCAAGAGAGTCTTCTGACACAGTATCATATATGTATTTTGAAACATATGTTGCTAATCTAGGTTCTTGACCACATAGCATAATGATAACATTTGATTGCTCTAATATGTCATGTATTGTTGAACATTTCTAAAAAACCTCTTTTATAAACTTCTTGGCTAATTCCTCATTTCCTTTACTATCTGACGAACCCAATTTCATATTAAAATTGATACCAATATTCGCTGCAGCCAGAAATTCTTGCATTGATTTGTGAATAAAAGAGAACAATGAGCTTGGTGGTTCTGATACAGATAAACTTGGACATTCATCTTCTGTCATTATTCCAAGTTTCAAGCAATTTTCTCTTACTTCATCTGATATCTCTACTTCATCAAACATACAAATGTCAAATGTCAAGGATTTATCCTTCGGACAATTAAATAGTGTCTCATAAGCCAACTGTGACACTTCATAAATGAAATGGCGGTTTAATCTTAATTTAGTTTTATCGGCTAAATATTTAGGAAGATCTACTTTCTGGGCACTCTTCATAAGTCTAGTACTTGTTCCTGTAGTTTTCATGTCATTCCAGGTGAAGAATAACTCTAACATACCGGTGTAGATGGCACATCTTAAGGTTTTATCGAGTTTACCATCAAACCATAGACATATCAGTTGATGTAGCATAATTGGTACCTGTTTTAAACTTTCCAGAGACTCTTCTTTTAGCTTTTCCCTACAATCTCTTGCTTCTTTACTAGAATGTCTTTTTATATTTAATTGTGAAACTGTCCTATTTACCATTTCCCATTCACATCTAAAATCAAAACCCTTCAGATTCAGCGACTGTTCAATCTTCACATCACTAGATCTTAATGTATGAAATTTCCATGGCCTCGAAGTAGTTAATATTGTGTACTTCTTGAAGATGCTATGTCCTGGGACATTTTCAGAGGACCATTCATCTAAGCCATCAAGCAAAATTATAACTCTAGAGGATTCCTCTTCCAGAAGTGTGTTTAACATTTTCATTTGGTAACGTTTTTGAAGCATTTCATCGATAGTGTCAATGTTTCGATACTGTCTAAGAGGGATGTAAAATACAAAATCAAATTTCTTCATCTCTATTACACCATTGAATTTCAGTTCATAATTTTTGCTATCATATTCAGAATCATTACTGTCAAATTCAGAGTCTGTTAAGTCACCATCAGAGCCATCACTATCAAATTTAAAGTCTGTTATGATATCATCAGTGTCATCACTGTCGAATATGTAGTCATTTAATCTATCAACATAGCCATCACTGTCAAATTTAAAGCCTGTTAAAATATCATCAGAGTCATAAATGTTAGATTCGGAAGGCATTGAGTCACCATCAGAGTCATCATTGTGGGATTCGGAGTGTACTAAGTCATCGTTGTTATCTTGAATGTCATCACTGTCACTTCCATTTTTCTTCATGTCACCCACATGTTTTTCATTCCCTCGTTTCTCAATAACACCTTGATGTGTCTTACTGCCCTCTTCGTTTTCAATGTCTCCACTATGTGCCCCCTTTACCTCTTTATTTACAATGTCACTTCCTCTTTTTTCATGTTCTTCAAAATCACCTCTGTGTTTCTCTTTGCCATCTTCAATTTCATCGACACCTCCAGCTCCATGTGTTTCATGTCCTTCATTATCACCTCCTTGTTCCTCAGTGCCACTTTCATTTTCATTGACACCTCCTTGATTTTCATTGTCACCTTCATGTTTTTCACTGTCACCTTCAGGTTTACTACTGCCATCTTCATTTTCATTGCAAGCTCCATGTTTTTTACTGTCATCTCCATGTTTTTCACTGTTCCCTTCAGGTTTACCATTGCCATCTTCATTTTCATTGTCGGCTTCATGTTCCTCACTGTGTGCCAAACACCAACAGTTGACCAGATATTTACAAAAACTAGTTTTACCTGACCCTGCATCTCCTATAACATATACAGATTTTTTGGGGACTTCATCCTTTGTAAAGATTTCTGACATTGTTTTAACCTCCACCTCCTTTGTCTCACCCTTTTCTCGTATTATTTCCCTCGTTATTTTGGGCCTAATATAAATCTCATTAAAGCTACATTTTTCACTTTTTGGTTGTAAAGGTGTTGTAGGAACTTGCAGCAGGGTTTTTTGATACTGTTCAATCAGCTTTTCTCGCCATTCTGTAATTTAAATCATAAAATGACATCAAATTGTTATGGACAAATCAATGAATAAATAATACAGAAATATATTTAAGAAATGAACACAGCACTGATGGCCTCCTTGAATTATAAAGATCAATCAGCCAGTCAGCAAACATTAAACAGCCTATGACAGTTTATGACAAGAGACAGGCACTACAAAATCACCTGCCAAACAAGGGCAACATTGTCGCAATAACCACAGAAACATTTGACAGAAGTGTGGGCATTATAGACATGCATATAGGAGATATTATGCTCTGGGCAATATCTGGAAAGTATCTGTACATTAAGACATGTGTTTTTTTTTCCTGAACTTAAACCCCTAAATGTGACTTTGACCTAAGTCGCTGCGAACTAAATTTTGTGCGCAACACTCTGACTCACATTAGTGCCAAGTTATATTGAAATCCCTCTATGCATGTAGAAGTTTTGCTCTGGACAAACTTTTTTCAACGACCTCTAAGTTTGACATTGACCTTTGACCTAGAGGTCTGTTTAATGCACAAGACACATCTTCACATAATGGTTAACATTTCTATTAAAATTCATTACAATTCCTCCATGGATGTAGGAGATATGCTACGGATAAAAATTAGACGCGGTTTTTTTATTGTGTTCTTTTCTTCATAATGAAACATAACACTGTGAAATCATTTATATTCGCGGGGCACAAATTTTCGTAGTTTTCGTGGATAGGTCAATCTACGAATTTAAGTCCCGACGAAATTTTATCTCAACATATACTTCTTACCATGTCTCTGTTCCATATATCACAACATGAGTCAGCGCTTTTCCGGCCGATTTTTGTGGTATGAATGTATACTAATAATCAGGTCAGTGACAAATTAAATCGATAAGTAGTTTAGTATTGCAATATTTAAGAAACTTGAAAAACAAGAGGGCCATGATGGCCCTGGATCGCTCCCCTGACCCATCAACCGCATCCAAGCAATGTCTTAGACAAGCATCCTGGCCAAAATGTGACCTCTAGTGTGTTAAAAAGGTTTTCCAAATTTGGGCAATGCGACCTAATTTTTAACTGGAGACGACCCATATTCGAACTTGACCTAGAAATCATCAAAACAACCTTTCTGACAAATTTCCTGAATATTTGGATCAAAACTGGACCCACTACAGTATTATAAAGAATTTCCTATTTTTAGCTCCTGTGACCTAGTTTTTGACCGGAGATGACCCATCTTCGAACTTGACATAGAAATCATCAAAACAACCTTCTGTCAAATTTCCAAAATATTTGTATCAAAACTGCAGTCACCAGAGTGTTAACAAGCTTTATCTATTTTTACTTCCTGTGACCTAGTTATTGACCGGAGATGACCCATCTTCGAACTTGACTTAGAAATTATCCAAACAACCTTCCTGACAAATTTCCAGAATATTTGGATCAAAACTGTAGCCAATTGAGTGATAACAAGCTTTTTCTATTTTTAGCTTCTGTGACCTAGTTTATGACCGGAGCTGACCCATCTTTGAACTTGATCTAGAAGTCATCAAAGCAACCTTTCTGACATATTTCCAGAATATCTGGATCAAAACTGCAGCCAGTAGAGTGTTAACAAGCTTTTTCTATTTTTAGCTCCTGTGACCTAGTTTATGACCGGAGATAACCCAAACTTGATCTGTAATTCATTGAGACAAACATTCTGACAAAGTTTGACAATGATCCAATCAAAAACGTGACTGCTAGACTGTTAACACCCCAATTGTTGACGACGCACAACGCACGACGACGGACGCCGGACATAGCCCCATCACTATACCTCACCTTGACCACTTCGTGGTCAGGTGAGCTTAAAATCCATTGTATGTCTTCAGTTTGCTGTCACAAATGTCATCATAGGGACTACTTGATCGTTGTAGGCTATTTGATTGTGTAAGCCAAAATACGTGACATAATCCAGTAAATATGGAAACCCAGTGCATTAGTTAGCGCCGATAAAACTTTACACGACTAGTGTTTATATGATCCATTTAAATAAATTTCAATATGTATTTATGTGACTGCTATTCCTAAAATATTTAAGAAGCTTCCGTATTTTTACTAGATACACACATACATATCTAACAGTATTGAGGCACTTACTCGTATTAATTTATATGCATATCAATTTACACCGTCGTAGTGTGTAGTTTTGGACCATTTCAGGGCGTAAACTTTTTAAATCGCTGGTTAAAAAGTGACAGATGACGTATTATTTATGCGATGTTTACATTGGCGAATTATAGGGGCAGTGTTTCCAATGGAGCTGCATATCATGTCACACAAACGTGTTAATTGCTGTCAATTATGGGCAGTTACTGTCTTACTCCCAGAGGCAAGGATTAATTTTATTGACAAGATCTGTGTTATATACACGTGGTAAGTAACACAGCGCGGTGATTAAGTGAAAAATAATACTTTCCATTGCTAATATTTTTTTTACAAGAAAATGAAAATCCACAAATTTAAGAACCCAAGAAAATGCCAGTTTGATAAAACCACGAAATTTCATGTCAACATATACAAATGATTACACAGTACTTGATATGATATGAAACATCAAAGCGTTGTCCTGTGCGGTCTGAAATTGGGGTTTGCAATAACTCTACATGTAGTTGGGAAAAGTACTGGCAACTAAAAATGGAACCTTTCACAAATGGCCCATATTCATTGTTACTGTACATCTGCAAAGTAAAGCTTTCTTTTTTTCTTTTTATACTGGAACCTTGTCAATTCCATTTTTTATTCAATTTTTAATCAGGATAACAGTTTGGCTATTAAAAATCTTAAAAAGAAACAAGAGGGCCATTATGGCCCTATATCGCTCACCTTAGTAATAGATCTTATAAATTATTTTCCTTTTTAAAAAAAAAAACAACAGGTTTATAAAATGCTTTCATGTCATTTAAAGGTTAGTGTCAAATGTAATGTATTTTTGGCCGACAGCAACAGGAATGCAAACAAGTGTTTAGAAATACCTCTTTTTTCTTTTCTTTAATGTACAGGTTGCTAAAAATACACTCCCTGTGGCGTGTTTACATCATGAAAATTTTAACAATGACATCATCATAAACAAGACGAAGTACAAATTTGGATCATACTTCAATAAAAATGGGCCAAAGACAAAAATCGCCGGGTTACATTTGTATACCAAATAACATGACTCCTGAGGCTGTGATGTTACAAAAATTTCCTACAATTGACCATTCATATCGAACATTTAACTAAGTCGGTAAACTGGAAGACGATAAGCGATAGACCTGAACTTTGCAGTCACAATACCAAATTTCAAGAGGCTGTGATATGTAGTTGCTAAGAAAACTGTTACGGAAATTTCCTTCCATTTACAATTACTGCTGAAAATTTCACTAGGTCAGAAAACTCTAAGTGGATGAGCCACATACCTGAAATCATATCAATGTTGTATACCAAACATCAAGAGGCTGTAATAAGTAGTAGCTGAGAAAATTGTTACAAAACATTCATACCATTGACCATTATTATGAACTAAACTAATGAGAAAATTGTTACGAAATATTCATACCATTGACAATTATTATGAATTTAACTAAGTCAGTAAACATGAAGTGGATAAGCGACAGACCTTAAATCGAATCTCATGGTATTGGACAATGTGTTAATGCTGCAAACTAAATATCATGAGGCTCTGATAAGTAGTTGCTGAGAAAACTGTTACGAAAAATAGCCCAACCATTTCGCCTGCCTGCCAAGAATCAAGCCTCAATACAGGATGGCAAACAGTATTATATGATTTTTTTTTTCGAAAACCAGTATTATAGTTGTAACAGATATCCCATTAGTGTTTAAATATCAAAATATTTTTGATAGTGTTTACTCAGGGGTATCATGTTGGCCCAAGCATCTGTGGTTTATCATAATTCAGAACACCCTTTCTAAAAAAAAAGAACAACAACAATTAGCAGGGATCTCAGGAAGGTAAACATTTCAAGTGGCAGACTGTTTGACCAAAATTTTCATGAGTCATTTCAGTTTTTTCCTCTCTTTGAATCTCTTCATGAACCATTTTCATGTTTCAATAATGAATTCAAAAATTACTGTTTGAGAAGATTTTCAAGTATAAATCGGCGGCACGAAATACCCAATTATAACCAAATACACCCAAATATACCCAAATATAGCAATATTTATTTTTGTTTGCATAAAATATAGATTATAATGAGAAATAAATAAATATTTATAAAATAATATGACTTAGCCTGCTATAACTTTTATTCATTCCGTTGAAATGGACAGTAAAGATGTTGTAAGGAAATAATAGTTGTGACATTTGCTTATCTAATATATATATAGGTTCTTTATGAATGTACTTGCAATTTTAAATCAAGATATGGATATGGTATTTGTTGTCTACACTAACATTTTTAACGTGTAATTTTGTTGAAATTTCATATCATATACATGCAAGTGTCCATCTTATTTAAAAAAAATAGCTGAAATTGAGTACATATACAGTATTTTGGTTCAAAACACAATGATAGGAAAATGTATATTTGGGTATGTTTGATTATATCTTAGTGAAAGTGTATATTGTATTCATGATTGAAACAGCACATTTTTAGCATAAAACATTTATTTTTAGTATAATTTGGCAATATTTTGGTATATTTAGGCAATATTTGGGTATATTTGGGCAATATTTGGGTATATTTGGGTGTATTTGGGTATATTTGGGTATATTTGGGTATTTCGTGCTGCCCGTATAAATTGATAATATTGTGAGGTTAAGTTACTTTAAAATTACGTATTTTTCTTGCTTAGTTAACAAAATGATAAAGATAATTAAGTATTACTAGCACCATGGATAATTCCCATAATTATTTTTCCATTTTCACTAACATTTATTGAGGTCAATAACACATGTGTACATGTATAATTTTATAAATCATAACACGGGACGTCGGGAGGTGATATTTACATAAATACAGAATGTCATGCCTTTAAACTTAATAAATAGTTAACAAAATACCTATTTCAACGAAGCACACCGATAATTGTATTCATCTTCACTTCTTTGTTGTGAAATACGAGTTTATGTTACAAAATTTCTCAATTTTCTTAATTGGTGGACGTTTCGTCATGTACTTCCGGTTTAGTATAATTTATAATCTCAACTCGAGGTCAGATTGATACAGATGTTTTCTTAGGCAAAATTGTTGGTTTGATTTGATTTGATATGCATTATTTGATAATTCGAATCGTATGTTTGTTCTCAGAATGAAATATTATGACATAATTCGTTCATCAGTAGGTGCGCTGTAGCTAGCTGCTATATGATTTTTCCCGCAAACCGGAAGGACAAAAAATGTAATATCCGTTCTGTAAATTAAACTTTTATCTTAATCAACTAATTTTTGTGGGAAAAAAACAACATTTTTTGTTCACTTTCGTTTCTTTGTGCAATTTCATGCACAATAAAATGTGCCAGTCATTGTCAAGAACCGAAATATTTTACAATTGTATTTCGGAAATGACACAGTCTTCCTTTCTGATGATATAACGAAATTAATGGAAAAATCCATTATTCAATGGGGAAATCAACTTCACTGTAGCTCTCAAATGTGTGCTATTCTGATCGACTCTGTTTTGAATTAACATTCACATTCAACAAACTTTTCATCCTTCTTATGCTTTAAAAGAAAAATCTTCATAACAATGTCTGTTGAGACAAATAATACAAGATACACTGTCTCAATTTATCCCTACAAAGAAAGTCTATATAACCTTGCAATAAAAAAAAACACTTTAACTCCCAAAATAGAGACCAATTTTCAGCTTTAGGCCATAATTTGAATATCCTTTGTAGGAACTAACAAGCTAATGCCTTGTGAGAAATATCTAAGCTCTAGCCCGTTCCATTTTGAAGTATAAGAAATTTTAAGTTTTTCTTTTAGTTGCCATAGCAACCAGAGTTTAGCATGGAATGGCATTCTTTGAACAATCTTGATAGAGCTTCATACGATGAGTATTCCTGCCAAGTTTCATTAATATTGGCCAAGTGGAATTGTAGATGATGTCGTCTGAATAAAATGTGGACGGACGCCATTTGGTTGGCCATCCTAAAAACTCTATTGCACTTTGTGCAAGGTGAGCTAAAAATTACAGAAAAGAGGGAAAAAAAGAATGGATTTTTTTTTTGTGAAAATGAACTGAATATCTTGACTAACTTGCCCAGCCAATTTTCAACTTTGCAGGGCAAGTGGGCAATGGATTATTTTTAAATTGTTTTTTTTTTTTTTTGCAAAGTACAAACATTTACATTTTTATTTGTAAAATGTATTGGGTACTGTATGAGGTAAGTTAGAACACTATTTTCCTAAAGAAAATTTTTGAGTTTTTTGGTGGTGTAGCGGTCCATGCATTTGGTAGAGTGGGTCTTGAATAAAACAAACTTTTGTGTAAGCAAAAAGTGTTATCTATATGACAACAGCTAGGGTTTTGTAATAAATGATTCATTACAGTCACACAAATATATAAACAAGAGGGCCATGATGGCCCCAAGAGGGCCATGATGGCCCCAAGAGGGCCATGATGGCCCTGAGTCGCTCACCAGAAACAACTGCTTTTCAGTGTTGGAAAAAATTATTCATTGTCAATTTTTTTCTATAGAATATGTTTAAACAATAATTTTAAGAAATCCCATGATCTGGGGCATTTAAGCTTTAGCTTAATTGGGGCCAATCAAATTAATATGAGCAAACTTGATAAAAGACTACCTAAGAATGCTACAAAGTTTGGTGATAATCTTTAAATTATTTCAGTAGGAAATGATGTTCAAAGATTTTTCTATTTTTGGCTTTAGTGGCCCCAAAAAGGGGCTAATCAAATTAATATGAGCAAACTTAATAAAAGAGTATCTAAGAATGCTACAGACAAAGTTTGGTGATCATCCATCAATTAGTTCTGTAGAAATAGACGTTAAAAGGTATTTCTTTTTTAGCTTTACATATGTAGCTGCCTCTAAAAAGAGGCTAATCAAATTAATATGAGCAAATTTGATAAAATACTACATAAGAATGCTACAGACAAAGTTTGGTGATCATCCATCAATTAGTTCCATAAGATGTCTGAAGGTTTTTCTATTTTTAGCTCTAATTACCCTAAAAGGGGCCAATCAAGTTAATATGATCAAACTTGATAAAAGACTACTTAAGAATGCTACAGACAAAGTTTGGTGATCATCCATCAATTAGTTCTGTAGAAATAGAAGTTAAAAGGTATTTCTTATTTTAGCTTTAGCTGCCCCTAAAAGGGGCTAATCAAATTAATATTAGCAAATTTGATAAAATACTACCTAACTACAGACAAAGTTTGGTGATCATCCATCAATTAGTTCCATAAGATGTCTGAAGGTTTTTTCTATTTTTAGCTCTAATGACCCCTAAAAGAGGCCAATCAAGTTAATATGATCACAGTTGATAAAAGACTACTTAAGAATGCTACAGACAAAGTTTGGTGATCATCCATCAATTAGTTCTGTAGAAATAGAAGTTTAAAGGTATTTCTTTTTTTAGCTTTAGCTGCCCGTAAAAGGGGCTAATCAAATTAAATATGAGCAAATTTTGATAAAAATACTACATAAGAATGCTACAGAAAAAGTTTTGGTGATCATCCATCAATTAGTTCCATAAGATGTCTGAAGGTATTTCTATTTTTTAGCTCCAATGACCCCTGAAAGGGGCTTATCAAATTAATATGAGCAAACTTGATAAAATATTACCTAAGAATGTTACAGACAAAGCTTTGAATAAACATCCATCAATTAGTTCTGTAGAAATAGACGTTCAAAAGATATTTTCTATTTTTAGCTTTTTAGTGGCCCCTAAAAGGGGCCAGTTTAAATAACATGAGCAAAATTCAAGTGTGACTGGCACAAGGATGCTACAGACCAAATTTTAAGTAAATCTGCCCAGCAGTTTCAGAGAAGAAGATTATTGTTGACACATTATGACGGACACCGCAGTATCCCCTTTGATACTAGCTGATAGCTCAGTATGAACCTTCGGTCCTGGTGAGCTTATAATACATATCAACATAATATTAATATAACGAATATATGAAAATGAATGACCAAACAATGACCAAAGTCATTCCAGTATAGCCCCAACCATATAATGTGGTAGGGTATAATGAAATGTTAATTACATGAATTTCATCATAAAAATATAATTTAGAGTCTTATCATTATAAACTTGTAAAATTACAAAGTAACAATGACCTTTACTTGTTTTTTAATTAACAAATGTCATACACTTGTATATACACCATCAAAACAAATATTCACTCACCTAACTTGGCTTGATCATAATCTGTCTGACTTTTACCTGAGGAGGTTTCTGTCTTAATTTTTGCCATTTCCTGCAAAAACAAATCATTTACTTTACTCCAAAAAATTATGGTACAAAAATAATCAACAATATATTATTAACTTAAGTATAATTACCACCATAAATTGCCCCATTTAATCACTTATGCTAAAAGGGCTCTCTTCAGCATTTTGAGACTTGGGCCAGGGTCCATGCAGGAGGGGAATTTTGCATGATTTTTCAAATATTTTTCATTCAAGGGGAAATTTCAACAGAAGAAAAATTTTAATTAATTAAAAACAAGGGAAAACAAGATTCAGGTAAAAAATTTATCAACAAAAAGCAGCTGTCATGAAATATTTTAGTTATTTCCAATGTTTGTTTGTTTGTTTGTTTTGGGTTTTACGTCACACCGACACAGTAGAGGTCATTTGGCGACGTTCAAGCTATACTGTTGAAGAAAGACCTCATGCACAATTCCTTGCATTATTCCAGGCATGAACGGCCACCTGAGTAAACCACCGACGTTCCGTAAGCTAGCTGGATAGCTTCCTCACATGAAAGAATCCAAAGTCCTGTCAGGATCCGAACCCACAGCGTTGAGGGGCAAGTGGTTTGAAGTCAATGACCTTAACCACTCGGCCACGGACAATATCTCATTCCTAACTCCACTTATTTTCCATAAACCATTTTACTTTTTTTAGTAACAGTAACCTTGTTCTTGACCCCAGGGGGTCCCAAAAGCAATACCAGCTAGGGTCTTCATATAAGCCTACTAAAAATTACACCAAGTTTGATTACAATATCTCATTCCTAACTCTAGTTATTGTCCAGAAAACCATTTTTCTATTTTTACACTGTAACGGTGATCTTGACCCTAGGGGTCCAAATGGAATACCAACCCAGGTCTTCATATAAGCTTGCTATCCGCCAAGTTTGATAACAATATCTCATTCCTAAATCTAGTTATTGTCCGGAGACCATTTGTCTATTCTTAGTAACTGTGACCTTGAACCCAGGGAGTCCAAATGCAATACCAACCCAGGTCTTCATATAAGCTTGCTATACACCAAGTTTGATTACAATATCTCATTCCTAACTCAAGTTATTGTCCAGAAACTATTTTTCTATTTTAAGTAACGGTGACCTTGACCCCAGGGGGCCCAAATACAATACCAACCCAGGTCTTCATATAAGCTTCCTTTATGCTAAGTTTGATAACAATATTTCATTCCTAACTCTAGTTATTATCCGAAACAATTTTTCTATTTTTAGTAACGGTGACCTTGACCCCAGGGGGTCCAAATGCAATACCAACCTGAGTTTCCACATAAGGTTGCGATATACCAAGTTTGATTACAATACCTCATTCCAAACTCTAGTTATCGTTAATTGGCTAGATACTATTAGTTTTAATATTTTTGCCACAAGAACTTAATTTTTTTTTCTTTACAATTAACATATTATCTTTATCTTCTTTAATGCAAAGATGCAGATACAGGTGTAACATATATCGTTTAGCTAACAAGCAGAAGGAAATTTGTTTTACCTTTTTCTGTTCTGCAACAAGAGTCTCTAGGACAGTAAATTTCTTTTTTAAATCGACATGTTCTATTTCCATCTCGAGTTTTTCCTTCTTCTCCTGGACCATTTGTGATTCAAGTTCTGTGATCGTTTTCTTAAGATCTTTAAGTTCTTTTTCATTTTCAAGCTTTTCCCCATCCTTTTCTTCTGACATCTTGGTTTCAAATTCTATAAACTTCTTCTTTAGATCATCGTATTCCTGTTTAGTTGCAGCATCATCAATTGAATTTAGAACTTTTTTCATTTCTTCATTGATTTGTCCCAGAATTTCATCAAAGTCTACAGTAGTTATATAGAGGATATTTGTTTGTTTTGCATGTAAGATTGAAATATAATTTCACTGAGTGAACACCAGATGTAATATTTTCACGAGTGGCGTAGCCACGAGTGAAATTATAATAGCTGGTGTTCACGAATGAAATATATTTCAATCTTATATGTAAAACAAATAAATTTTCTTTTTATTTCATGCTTTTTAAGTGATTTTAAGTATTTTTTACTGATTTTGCCGCGTAACGTCGCGCATTTTCCTTTGTGACGTCATCACATCATGACGTCACATCATTAATTTTGAAATATAGTTCTGTTAAATTTTGTCTAATTTTGTTACATTTTTAATATGATGTATGGTGACATCGACTTTCTTTTCCTAAAGAAGCAAAGTTTATGCATGACAGCATTTATTTCTGCCTTTTATTCCATTTCCTTATGATTTTCTATTCATCCGCATTCAGATATAGTCCGGCTACTGTGAAAATTATATTTTATAAATTTCACTAGTGGTTTATCAGAATATAATCATCTGATATATTACAATAAAACACTGGAAAGCATGAAATAAAATGAAGTCCTTCTTCTTCAGCTAATGAAAAATATCAATTTCTTTTATATTTTCCTTCATAAAAAATGAAGTTATGTGAGTTATAATACTTACTCTTCTATGTAACAAATTATATGCAAGGTTAAATTTCAAAATTATCTCAATTGTTTTTTATTTTAACTCATACTTTTTCTGAGGGCTTCAAAAATCTGCTTTTAAGGCAGGATGTGTGGTATAGTCATTTGATTGCCAGAATTCTCTATTTTCTTCACCATTTGTTTTTCTTACCTGTTACTAACAAGCTTAGATCTGTATTCTTCATATTTACACTTGTGGGTAATTTTATTTGATTTCATCAAGATAAGTTAACTTAAGGCAGTTGTTACTTAAATTTGACTAAAATGAAGTAACCACTTCGAGCACTTTTTTCTATTTAACCCTGTAAATTTAGTAAAATGTGCTTATTTCAAGTTATGATAATTTAACTCTTTAAAGGTTTCAAACTTATAATTTATTATGTACACTTACATCTTGGAGTTTCAGTACAGCTTGTTGTGCAGCTGGTTGATGAACAAGTTCCTTACTATCTTGTAGAACTGTTATCATATCATCTATGTAAGTATTTGCATCGCTTTCCTCTAATTCCATACTGCTTGAGTGGAAAATCATGTTTCTGTACTGACGTACCTATTGAATGAAAAACAAATAAAACAACATATTTATAGGGGTGTATCACTTAATTACACTCAGAGTTAAATGGACATTCTTTTTTATGCTTTGTTGCTGTATTAACATAGTAGTTACCTTACAATGAAGCGTAAAATTCTACGGTATCTACATTATTTAACAACATCATTGCAAAGGAACAGCAAAATATGCCAGAATAAATAAGGCTTAGTAATCAAGGATCAAATGTGCTTGAGTTATCAAGAATAATTTTTCACATAGAGAAAAGCCCCAACATTCTACAGAAATAAAAGAACATTATAATTAAAGTATATAAATCATTAAATGATTAAATCTACCTTTGAAAAAAGATTGTTTGGTCCTGCAACATTGCCTCCAATATGACTATGAAAGTACTTGTTATTTATGATAACATGAAGCAACCCAGTGCAATCAGTTTCGTCTGCTGATGTCTTGTCCTTGTACCCAGGAGCATTTATAAAACATTTGCAAACCTCCCACGGTTCTGTCGACCACTGTTGGACATCACTGTTTTTCCAAAAAGGTGCCAGTGGCATTGATGCATGATACTGTATAATGCTGTCATAGATGGCACCACATACATTGTTTGGACAGGGTCTCTTTTTATTAGGAAAGCAACAATTACATTTATCTTGATTGAGGGGACATATCCCTTTTGAGACTCGGACATGGTCTGGCTGGAGAGCTGTTATCCGACAGGCGCTGCATGGTACGTTTGGTTGAGGAGTCTTTGTTTGTTGTATTTTGTTTATAATATCTTTGTGTTGCTGTCTTCCTATGTCATCACAAAATGGCGCAAGTCCCTCTTTAAGATAACCCAAGCCTAGGCCAGCCTTAACCCACTGCCGGTATTTGTTGTTCTTTAAATGTATTTCATGTGCCATCTTGATTTCTAGAAAGAACAAATTTTTTTTAGCTACAATATGTAAGAATCCAAGGAAAACCAACATTAACTATGATTGATCACGAACACTTGTACATGTATGCCTTGAAAGCTGGGTCCAGTTAAGGGAACATGAACTTTAACTCATAATGAAGGCATTGCTACTATCACTAGAGGGCCATATTGGCCCCAGATTGCTCAACTGAGATTTGTTGTTAGAAATGGTCATAGACAGAAATAGATATTATTTGGGCTACGTTGAGCGACCAAAATTAATTCAACCATTTCTATGTCTCTGCAATTAATTTCTATAATTTGAAATCACATTTCAATCTGTGTCAAGATAAAAGTTGATACAAAGGCAGGGCTTGAGCAGGGTCAGAAGTTATTTCTCCGTCAAGCTGTTTTAGGGATAAAGGAAGAGACTTTAAGTAGAACTTGGAAGACATGTTAGGCGTCACCTCGAGACATATTTCCTGTCTTTTTTTCTTCGGAATTATAAGCAATGAAACTTTACAAACCATAAAAGAAATAAGAAACAACTCTCAAAATCAATTCAATTATAATTCTACTTTCCATAAATATACAGTACAGATTAAACAATTTACTAAAGTCTTTATTATTTTACGGGTGGATTGTCATAGCAACATCCCTGCTACATTTTTGACTTTCCCTTATCAACTAATCGGTTACCTATTGTCCCTCTAGCCACATAATTACTCTCCTGTGAGTGCGGACGGACAGACGGACGGACGTACGGACTGACGGGCGCCAGGGGGTATAACATAATATTCCCGAAATTCTTTCGGGCATATAAAAAAGTCTAGAAATTACTATAGTATATAGCCCTTATAGAACATTACTTATAGTTTGTTTCAAGTACCTGTCGAATGACAAAAATCAAGACTAAACATAACGGAAACAGGTGCCCTGTCAAAAGGACATGTCTAAAACAATACTGTGGCTAGTAAAAGGACAACTACTGTATGGTAGCTGTATTTGCACTTCAGAAAAAAACTTATTTCTTTGTGCTAAAATGAAATAATTATATGTACGAAACAATCTGAATTTTGAAGATTATTTTGTCAAATAAAAATCCGATAGATCTAAATCAATTATCATTATACTTTGAACTATCTTTTGATTCGAGATTCATCATTCAAAAATGTCTACATTTTAGTCTATGCCCATAATTATCTTAACACTTAAAAATTGGTGTAAAACAAAATTGTTGGGACAAAAAGAAAGCTAAACATTCAAAGCATTTAGGAACATTTTGGGTTTGTTCAAGAAAAAGGGTTGTTAACTCAAAAGAATAAGTAAAAAATTAGATTCTGTTGTATGACTGCCATTTAGCCGCAATCTTGAGACCACATCTTGATGGCAAGGTTAAAACAAGAGGGCCATGATGGCCCTGAAATCACTTACCTATATATAGGCGCCTGGGCCAAGGCCAATTTTAAACCAGGGGCTTTTATTTGAACAAACTTGCTAGACACCCATTAGAAGATGTTTCATGATAAATATCTACAGTAAACTCAGTGCGGATTTTGCAAAACCTGCGTGTCCCGGCGGATGTGGCTCATCACAGACCAAAATATGCTCAAATATTGTGACAGAAAATTTTCACCACCGCGGACATAAAACTACAGCCGTAAGCGTTTCCCCAGCGGAACACTGCGGTTGATTGCGGGGGAACGCGGTGTTCAATCACCGTAAACCGCGGTGTTTTTCATCGTGAAAACGGTTAAATTTTACAAGTAGTTCATGGAACTTGTTAAAACGTTATGGAATAGATGTAATTGTACAGTAAAGAATTTATATTAGAGTCTACTAAAATAATTTATTTGCCTTTATTTTCAATTTCAGAATGTTTTTGGACATCAATTACAGAAGTTGCAACAGCTTGCGTCCGGGCCCGTACCGCTAGTCAAATGTTATTGCAACCTCTATTTTTTCTGTGAACCCCGTTTATTTAAAGAATATACTATGCAAAGCTTTTAGTAGATTATAATTATTAGAAGAAATTTATTTAAACCTATGAAATTCTTACTGAATATGTCTAATTTGAATAAAAAATATTGAATAAACTATGCATTGGAAGTTACGTTCTCTATTATGGGACAATAAAGTTGATATTTTCTTTAAAAAACTGCCAGTTTTTTTAACGACACTATATATTCATATTGTGACGACCTATACTGTGTAGAGCGTTAAACATGACAAATCAACTTTTTGTGAAGTCAAAACATGTTTATTTCATATTTACAAAGAGACTGTGTAGCAATTATCAATATTTTCTGATACCATATCTGAGCATAGTATATCTTTACATATGCATGTAGAAGAAAAAAATTCTATCAACCAACTATCTTTATTTCATCAAACAAATTGTAAAAATGAGGTACGTTGTTTTAATTTTGTAGAAAGATGTGTTTTCCGTTGGCTAATAAATTTGGTAGATTGACGGGTAAAATTTCTAAACTCTATTTATATTTCATCGTATATTGTAAAAATTTGGGGCTCTGTTATTTTTGTTGCAAGACATAAAATAAACATGGAGATGTAGTGAGAAATGTACAGTTAAAATTTAAAACTGTATAATGTTGGTCCTAAACCAAAGAAATATCTTTTATATCAAAGAAAAGGCATCCTCAGTAATCCAGGCCGTATACCGGTATCGGTATAAAAAAAGTATTTACGGATAGTGTACCGTGGGTTCTGGCGGTGAGAAAATAAACATCATCTTAAAATTATTTTAAAAATGCAAGAACTGTGTATAAATTTCTTATTCTTCATTTTGAAGTGAAAGCACATCCACGGTCGTAGACTAAGTTTTTTTTTTAGATTTACTTGTTCTGACCCCCGCGTTATCCCGCGAAACACGGATGACTGATTTTAACGATAACATGACTGCAATCGTCGGTTTCTGGTCCGCGTTGGAAACAACTAGACACCGTTGATCGCGGGGAAAATTAGTATTTTTATCGCGGACCTCCACCGTGTTTGTCCGCGTTAGAAAAAAAATGACCGCGATGGTATCGCTGAAAAGGCTAAATCCGCGCTGAGCGTACTGTAAGCTCTACCTTTTTGGGGATTTTATATGAAGATTTTTTCTAAGTTTTTACAATGTACATATAGGGAAAAACAATGGCCGCCCCCCTCCCCATTCCGTCAACGTGGCCAATTTTTATCCCAAGGCTTTTATTTGAACTAACTTGGAAGACACTCACTGGAAGATATTTCATGCTTAGTATTTAAACTATAGCTCTTTTGGTTTTCAGGTCTTCCATTAATGGAAGTTTGGAAGTCATATACTCTCTGATTTTGGCTTGTGACTTCCAAAATCTGACACTTTTCAGTCTTTACCTATATAATGTGTCTACCAATATCAGAGATTTTGCAATGACTGACTCCCAAATTTTTGAACTTAGTGGAAGCCCTGGGTTTTTAAAAGATTTTTTAAGTTTAAGTTACTACATGTATACACATAAGGAAATCCATTACCCGCGGGCATGGCCAATTTTTACCCAAGGACTTTTATTTGACTAAACTTGGTAGAAAGAAGATTTTTTAAGTTTTTACTATATACATAAAGGGGAAAAAACGACCCCCTGGTACGGGGCTAATTTTTATCCCAGGGCTTTTATTTCAACAAAGAAAATTTTAATAATTTGACCATCAAAGTCAAGATCATATATGAGTACAGGTCTGTCAGGTTATTCTAAAGGGCTATCCTTGAAGATTATTATGTTCAAATTTGGAGACAATCCATTCAAAAATAACAAAGTTACAGCCAATAATAGCAAGAACAAGCAAAATTTGGACTTTTGACCTTGAAAGTCAAGGTCATTTACAGATGAAGGTCAAGGTTAGTGTAATCTACTGAAAGGTCTTGTTCCAAGGGTTGTTGTGGCCAAGTATAAAGACAAGACACCAAGAACTAAAACGTTATAATCCAAATACCTGTTTGTGGACGGCAACGGCAACGCCGCCAGGACTATAACAATACCTCTACTTTTTTTTAAAAAGTTGAACTAAAAGTTGCTTGGCATTTTTCGTTAAGCTTCAGATTATTGTGATTGTAATTAAACGCCCCCTATTGCCTAAATGAACATTTGGTATTTAGACTTTTTGAAAAATAAAGTAAGGATGTTATGTTGACTCTAGGAGAGGGACAAATTTAGGGCAGACGACGATCGATAATCAATTTCTACACCCGATTATTGAATCCATGTAAACAAAATGCTATTTTTAGCGATGTCAATTACCGAAAACTTCAGAGCGTTTTACACAAATAAATATGACTGTTGAAAAGTGGAATATATATATGTCGGGCTAATTTGGGGAGAGTTTCGCTAAATTATTTACATCAGTGTTAAACAACAGGTTTATCGTGAACAAAATACTTCAAAATTAATAAGGATTATAAACCCGAAATGGAAATTCTAAATTTAGAATCATTTATTTTATTCGGGCTTACTTCGTATAACTTCCCCGTGGTGCAGGGGTAACGCGCTCCTTTAGGGTGTTTAAAAGTTTGATTAAACAAGAATTTTTTAAAACTATTTTTAAATATTGACGATTTGTTGTTTACTTCTTTCACATTCCTCAGTGGTATAGAATTCCAAATCACCATGGCATTAAATTTGAATACATCATTAAAAATGATTAGTACGTGGGTTGTAAGACGAAATTATTTTTTTGTTAGATATCGATCTTAAATTATTCTTTTGATTATTTGATATTGTAAGTCTCGGATATATTGAAGGGGCATATTATTCAGTGCTTTATATATTTGGACAACGGTGTGAAAAATACATTTTTTCGTGAAAGGCATTTTTTTTAAAATTTGTGTATAAATTTTCTGATCGTGGTTTAGAATACTTTTGCAAATAAGGTTTTGTATTTTGTATATTCGGCACATTTTTTGTTTTCTTTCCTCCATATATTACAATGGTTATCAAAATAGTAAGAATGTATGCATTATAAAAAGGATGCGAGGTTCTTTATATAAAAAAAGTACTTTATACGCCTAAATAAATTAACTTCAATTAGTTCACATTTTGTCGAGTTATCTGTATCTTAAATGTAAATTATATCTTCATGTACAAAACTTACAACCAGTATTTAAACTCCTGCGGGCTAAATGATATTTGGAGAAGAGATACTAACTCTTTCTTCATTACACGGATTTTGTTTGAAAACTCGTCTGAATGGCAATGATTTCTAGCATTTTTTGCTAATACTTCTTTGTATATATCATGTGTACTAGTATATCAATTAGAGGCAATACTTAAGCGAACGAAATAATGTTTTAATCAATCGATGGAAGAATTTCAGAAACTTTTTCGAACACTATTGAAAACTTAAAAAAAACCTGATCATATTCTTTTCGTAATAGACTTAAGGTAAAAATATTGTCAATTAGTTCTATTTATTACTTGTGCCTTAACTCTGATTTACTTAAGTAAACATGTATCAGTCTTTGTGAGCGTGCTACAATGTGTTGTTTTACGACAAGACATGTTAAATAATTCTCAGTTTGATACATAAATATAAAATCTTTAAAACGTGCAACACTTCTTTCAATTGCAATGTTTTCAAATAATGGTCATTATTGTAAAGACGATTGGAGTTAAATATTTTATATTTTTGAGATAACAACTTCTTTCAATATGTTTCTTGTATTTTAAATTTAATTTCTTCAGAAACTCTGATTTATTTTCAGATAAAATAAGCATGGAATTTCGTTTATGTTATACCGTTATCCACTTAGACTACTACTCTGTCTATTGCCTCACGATTATAAAACATATATTGTTCTTATAAAGTAACATGTTCTTTGAAAATTGCCTAGGAATAAAAGAAGTAATTATGCTAGGTATCTGTTTCCTATATATCGAGAAATACCTTTCTTAACATAATTTTAAATGTCGGTTTCAAACAAAAGAAGTAAATATATCTGACCATTTGATCGTTGGCACAAAATAAAACAAATCTTAATTGAACATGTCAAAGTGTATAAGTTGATTATATTGATATTTGTTCTTACATTTTTGCATCTATCTAATATGTGAGCTTTATGTCTTCGTATGTCCACTATAACAAAGTGGTTTATTTAAACTCGATAAATTTATAACATTTTGACCAATACTTTTACAGTTATAAAGCGTTGGTGCTAAACATAGCTTTCACGTGTCTTAGTAAAAAGGAAAATGTGCAAAACGTATGTTCACTGAATAAGATTATTTAACTTGAATATAATCAAGTGCCAATTGCACTATTTACACACGTATAACCTACTCTATACCCAAAGCCCAAATTTATTCAAGTAATGATACATGTGTCAAACTTCCGCTGCGTGATCTAGGGTTTTGTATTACACTCGCAATATATAGTTTACCTTCTTCTTGATCTATTAACGTAGCAAAAAATTATATGATCATAAAAATAGCTTTTATTCGTAGAAGTATTACAAAGTTGCAGTACGTACGTTCACTAGATAAGATAATTTTATTCATTTAAAGCAAAGTGTCAATTGTATTGTAAACCCATGTATAACCTTTTATAATTCCAAAGCCCAAATTTATTAAAGTAAAGGTAAATATATCAAACATCCTCTGCATGATCTAGGGTTTCGTGTTTAACTTTCTTGATAAGTGTACAAAACAAGAGTTTAAAATGTTCAATCACGTGTCATTTGTAGTGTTTATACGTGTACGAAATTAGAGTGTTTGCAAAACTCGGATTCATTTAAGGAAAGGTAAGCATATATCATACTTCCTCTGAGCGATCTAAGGTTTTGTAGTTCAGCGGACTGATCAAGTTTATTGTTTAATTGATCGATTTACGTACAAAAAATAATATTATCCTTTAAATGTTCTTATTCGCAAAACATTTCTCGCGATTTTAAACAAACAGACATGTCATAGGTCCATGTACTTTGTTCAAACCAAAAAAGCACCAATCATTTAGATATTAATGCTTATTTATTATCTCTTTGAAGAAAAACCGACCGAAATATAAATATATATTGTCAAGACATGTATTCAAATCTGAAAATATATAACCCATTCGCTACATTTGCTTTCTTCTTAAAATGTTCTTTAAATTTTCATCATCAAAACTTTTCAACTTTTTCCTTAATCTTTTATGTATTTTTTTCAAAGAAAAACAGTCATAGCAATTACCTTTCTAATTAAGCTTTCCCCAAACACAGAGTACACACTCCGTCTGTATTAACTAAGCTTTATTTGCGTAAACACAACGTATTCTTTGCCGTTTCTTTCTTTATCAAGCTTATTTCAAATATAACGAACGTAGTAGAAATTTGTCTCGGTTCGAGAGACAATATTGAGCGAATGTGTTAAGGTTTATTTAAAGTTTGGAAGTATTACCATTTCAAAAATGCTAAGAATATGCTAAACAGTTATTCAATTTTGAATTGAAACATATGTAGAAATCGTCCTGAACAAAAGAGCTAATGTTTCTTCCTGTAAATACTGTTTAACCCACAGGAGCCTACAAACTGGTTTCGAGTTTCATATATTCTATATACTCAGGCAACCTAACAATAACATGACGGATGGCATGCCCCGTAGCGTCCCTTTTTGATGTCTTCTTTCGTCCTTTTGTCATCATGTGTTGTTTATTCTGTATTAGTTTTGGCATAAAGCAGGCGTTGACCGGGTATAAATGATGGAATCTAGTCACTTGGATATGTCACACCATCAACATCTTTGATTGATGAAGGTTAACCATATATATGCAAAAGATGCAGGTATTACATATATTACGCGAAAACCTTATATTCATGTGCGTTATGTCTCTTCTTTGCTCACACATAAGCAGAAACAAACTAGGCTAAGGCTGACATCAAAAGTTAAGCCAAACGTTGATGCATGTGATTACTACCAGCCGGGAGAAATAGACACAAATAGAAGCTCTGAATTACTTATTATATTTTGTTCAGATATATCAAAGCAATGTACTGAAGTGAACTATGATAAAGTTTCATGATTGTGCTACTTATTCTGATGGACTAAAGGCTCGTTGAGACATTATCAGACGGTATGATTTAGAAGTATAACAACCATTAAAACTAAAATGTACAGTGAAGACAACTTTCTTTTGATTTCATGAACCTTAATGCTAGATTTACATTACAGTATATGTCTTTTTGTAATTCCTTTTGTGGAGACCTCCAACGACGAAAAGCGACATTTGTCAGAATCTTTAATCTGATAATAAGTGTAATCAACGGGATTTCGTAAGAATTAGAAATAAACATGTAAACAAAGTAGTAAGACAGAATAATGAGGATGTTGAATACCAAAACACTGAAAACAAGGATTATAGATTAAAAAGTTTAAAAATAATAAAGAATGTCCTTGGTCGTTCCCATGAACGCAAAATAATCTTTCACTGTTAGTCCTAAACGCAGAGCAGGCTTACATGTGCTTGGGGGTGGCTCTGTTATTCCTGATCAAAAAGTAGTAGAAATGTACTACTTAAATGGACTTTCATTGATAATACACGCCCGTGTAAACAGTGTAAATCTTTACAATCCTCCAGCAATTTAATACTACAAGGGATCTATTTGGAGAAAAATGTATCTAAAAGTATAATTTTGAGAAGTGACCTATAGGAAGCAATGTACACATTATCAATGGGACTTGCAACCCACGTGAATTACCGGAAAGAGGTCAAAATATGCAGAAATAGCCCTTACTTTGTTAGTATCGCAGTAGAAATAGTGTTATACATACAGAAAATCAGTCATTAATCGCACATAAGATAAATTATTACTTGAATATTGAATCTTTATCTTTTTCCGAAACTATTAGATCATTTATTCCAAGTTTGATTTTAATAAAATACCTTGGCTCATATTTAGGCGTGTGGCTTTAATTGGTCGATACCAACACGGTGTAAATATTAACGGATACTCCTGTAATTTAATACTTCAACGGATTGATTTAGAGGAAAATGAAAATGTAGTAAAAAGTAGGCAAATCTACAGTTTGGGGTTTGACAGTAAATGGTAAAATACATATTAAAAGACAACCAAAGATCAATTTGCATATATGATAAAGCAGTCAAACTTTTCATGATAAATATTTCCCCGTGCAAAATTGAAATAATGTGTAACCTCGGCTGAGTTCTCTTTTGGAGTGCAAAACTTCTTTCCAACATATTTTAAAATTTCATAAGGTAAACTTTCACAATAATCTTAACATCAAAAGGGCAACAACACCTTAACCCTTGTTCCAAAAGGGCTTTTCTCCGAAGAACTTACACTGCAACAATATAAACTCGTCAATTATAAAGATATACAATCTCCCTTGACAACAGTGGTTTAGAAATAATTTTTTGAATACCCTTTGAATGAGCAGTGAAAGTGTCGCTGTAATGTTGAGTTTTTCCCTCTATTTGTCCTGAAGTAGATTTTACCTTCCCGGTAAATATTTTAATGTATGGGTCGATATGGCTATAAAGATATTTCTTCTATTCATAAAACATCCACTGACTTATATCAATAAATAGTCAATACTATTCTATGAAATCGTGTTATACTATAACTATTGTTATTTCATACTTTACAATTATTGACTATCAATCATTTGAATATGATATGATATTCACATGTTTAATATCATATGCAATTATTTGAAGACCAAAACCATTCAAACAAAAATGCTCGCATGCCTTAGGCAAACCAAGATATGTACGATCTAAACCCTAAAAAGTTGTTAAATGTTCATGTCAAGACAACCTTAAAAATCATGTAGGTTAATTCAGAAATGATAACACATAAGTTGTAAAGAAATGTAGATATACATACCTTATTCTTATTCTCGTCTCTTTTCTGTTCCTCAAGCATTCAAATGTTAACTTTCAGGTAAACCTTTCATTTTTTATAATCTTTATATTAACTTCATCACAAAATGCGTATATTTCTGATTAAAATAAACATACCGTAAGTTCTTCTCCCTAGTGTTAAATGTTTATCCTGGGCTCTCTGCAGCCATCTTGACGTGTCTCAAATGTAATGGCTTTTAAGAAGGTTTACATCCTTCAGGTTAACATGTAATTTATACCTCGTTATTGTATTTTTGTATTTCGAAACGTTCGCAATTGGATGTAAAACTACCTCCTCGTGACTTTATTGTATAAAAAAAATCGACCAATCGTTGCGCATTTAGTGAATAGGACAACCCTTTATGGCGTTTATTTGTTTGAATATAAATACGATACTTAAATATCGCCGGCATGGAATGAAAAGAACTTAATATCAGTGCAGCGACGCCATGAAAGATAAAGATTTATGTAATATGGCGAACTGAATGATAGCTAACATACAATGTATATGAAATATATAAAAGATGTTGTAAAATATGACCCAAAACCGAAAAGCGTTTAAACGCTTTTCATTTCAATCGATCTGTGAAAAGCATAATATTACGATTTTTTTTTATACGTATTAAGGTATATTTTTTAACTATCTTTGCATAAATTTCTGTATGGTGCCCCAGATCATTCATGTTAGAAATTCAAATGTTATGTTTTTAGGCTTTTAAACCTCAGTGGAGCACCTTTAAACATAGCTAACATAAAATTTATAAAAAATATATTAAAAGGTAATTTTATGCCAGTCTGATGAAAAGAAAAGAGGACGTGAATGTGGACATTTTCGGTATATATTTCAAATGTTGAGCTCTTCAAAGTGATTACCCATTTTAAGATATATAATTTGAACCTGCTGGTAGATAATAAATAAGCATGTTGTTTATATGCAAAATAAATTACTTATTGATTGTAGGTTACAGCATTTAACGGTTTATTATCAATGGCCAACACATATTAAATTAGACAACCCTCGTAAACATGAAGTAGATATAAAACATATAAATTGTTTTATCAGTCTTATAAAAGTGAGAAAGGGTGAGAAAATTTTCAGTATATATTAAAAAAGTGTATTTCCTGTACTTCCGAGGGATTTCCAGATATTAAATCTGAACCTGTTGATAACTAATTAGTATGCAAATTATCTAGAAAATAAATTATTAATTGATTACTTATTAACATCATCCTAAATACTCAACCGAAAAAAAATACTTGGACTTGGATTTACCCCATCCTTGCTTTGCCTTGTACCCTGCCTTATTTACATTTGGTGTCATTTGGCTCCTTGCCTGGGGCTCTGTGTTGCTGGGTCTTGTTGGGGTTGCGTTCATTTATCGTGGCCTTTCGTTCATGACCTTTCTTTCATATTTTATTCATGGTAATAAAACGTAGCCAATTGCCAATTAGTTCATATTTTGACAATGTGTACAAATATGATAAACAAGATCAAAAAGGAAAGACGGCGTTGAATAAACGCAACTCCCACGCGACTCAGTAACAAGAACCAGCGCCAAGGAATCTAGGAGGACCCCAATCAAATAGAGAAAGGGCGCAAGTGAGAGCACGTACAAGCTTATCACTGTAATTGTAAATATGTTTAAACCTAATACTGTACGTTAAGGCTGACATACTGAACAGATGGAGTCTTAAAATAGAATTCATGAAATACATTCAATTTGCTTAACTCTATTGACTATTCTATGTTTTCTACACCACGGGGATATTCTCAAGGCAGATATGATTTTTTCCGCTTTACAATTTTAAAGGCAAAAGTAATTACTTTCAACCAATTTAATTGTCTTGTATCAATGTTAATATCACTTATGTCCAATGAAATGTTAAACATTATTTATACCTACATAAATTACTATATATTTAGGGTGCCTATCGTTCACCTTGAAATGACCCCCACTATAATGTAGGTTGCCTAACTTGACATTCTCGGATTGAGATAAAAACAAATCTTAACGCTCGCTTTATAAATGAAGCCTTGTTTGATGTAAAATGAAACCAAAGTCTTAAAACTGTCATACAAAAGAATTGAATTACTTATTATCTGACAATTAAAATATTTATAGTTAAGTGTTTGGTGTTATTTTGTAAATATTGGAGCATTATGAGTTAGTGTGTCATAGTTTGGGGACATTTCTGTAGAAAATGTGTCCGAGTTAAATCGTATACATTTACATGCACCATGCTTGAACTAGAGTGCAGGTATTTGTTACCCGCACTTCAGAGCATGCCCAGCAGGCACTCGACGTTGTTTCAACGTTGAAACAACGTTGAAATATGGTCGTGACGTTGTTCAACCAATATTCAACTATGGACGACCATACGGATATATTGCCAATTAATGTATATACAACGTTGATTCAACGTTGTTTATGGTCGAGGTTTTACATTTAGTTTAATCATTATATAAACTTTTATACCACTAATTTTGTGATATTATTCCTTTATTGAATTAGTCTGTAAGTGATTTTTGTCAGGAAAATTTGCGTTACAATCTTTTTCAGTTTATTCGAAAAATTTTAAACAAATAAAGTTGGAAATAATTTTTCACTTTCTATTAACGCTTTAAATATTAGTTAATATGTTTTGTTGTTTGTTGTTTCATTTTTTAGTTCTTTATGAATAATATTTATTAATAAATTGATATCAGTCAAAACCCCGTTATAAAATAACGCTGGTCGGGGGAAGTAATTGTTGCGGGTCTATGATTTTGTTTGTTTGTCTATGATTATCGTTCGTGCAAATGGTGGCGCTGTTTGGAAAATTTGAAAACAACACGATTGGCAATTTATTTGGATTTCGAAGGTATTACCGTTATGTTTTACTGTAGTTTACTGATTATTTTCTAAAATATTATAATTTATTCCTTAAATTCTACTTTAATTTACTTTATGAAATAAATGAGAGATTTTAACACATTATTGAGTTGATTTGACACGTTTTCGCGACCTAATTGAATGATTTGGGTTCGCATGAAGTTATTGATGTCATTGGCAATTTATGATTTTACAAATCTTGTCTTTCTTTAATTTATATTTCATATTATTAAACATATGTCTGTACTATATCCTATTTAAAATTTAATCAATTTTAAAATTGAAACCTATAAAGTAGTTCGGCCCACTTAATTTACGTCCCAAGACGATTCGTCAATATATATAACTATGTATATATTTTATTGATAGTATAATACAGTGTTAATTAGTTTGAAAAAAAATAAAAATACAGTATAGTGATTATTATTAAGTAAATTAACAAATTTGAGTGTTAAACTTTAAAGTTTAATAGTCGTAAATTTAATAATAAATCTATTTCTATTTTATTATATATTATTTTATATTTCTAGATCCTGGTTCTGGCTGAAATAGAGTATTGCAGCTGTAGCCTGTATACCATACATTCAACATGAAAGGGACTGTCAGGTTTGTTAAATTGAAATTTATTCTTATTAATTTATATATTTGAATTTCTTTACAATACAAAGTATAAATTTTTCAACTACTGGATATTTATCTTGTATTTAAATATATTTCTCTCGGAATATTCCTGTAACATTATTGATATAAAATTTACATGTTTGTTGGTTTCAGGATGCTGCATAAAATGGTCTTAGCTAGAGCCTAGAATGTTAATTTCTTGGGAATATGCTGCAAGGAACTGATGGGGAGCAGTTTTTCTTACTAATCAAAGGTGAGACTTTTTAATAGCTTCTTTTTAAAAAGATTTTGTTGTCTTGTATACAGTATTTGCAGTCAATATCAAACTTAGCTATGTTTCAATTTCTATACTGTTTTATGATGTAAATTTTTAGATAAAAGCATTTTAAGATAAAAAGAAATCACTAAGTTGAGTAATTATATGTATAATTTGAGATTGACCAAGTCACTTTTAACTACAAACTTCTTATTTTTATATGCAGAAGCAGTAAGAGACAGCCAAAGAAGTACTCGAACACTTGAAATACCCAGAAAGATCTAGAAAAAAAGATTGGAACAGATTTTAGCTTAATTGTTAAAACTATTAAAGTGAATTTTAGCTGCACTTGAACTGTATTTTTGAAATAAAATATCTGAAGTATTTGATATTGTCTTGATATTTAGTTAAACTTGGTTACTTTGCTTTATATCCAAAAATTAAAGTATGGTGGGTTTTCAACGTTGAAATGACATTGAAACTTCAACGTCGTGCCAACGTTGAAGCTGCAACGTTCAAAAGTGAAAGAACATCAAAACAATCTGCAATATGATTAATACTCAAGGGCTACGCCCCCCTCGTACAAATCAGATAGCCTCGTGTTTCGATGCTCTATCACGTATTTTCATTGAGCAAATTACTACGCGATAATTATTTAACATAAGATATTATTTTTGTTCTATTTAAAATGTGAACGGTTATTGGTGTAATTAGTTTCATGTTATTTGATCAAAAGATCATATGTTTTTGTAATTTAGCTGTGCTTGTATTTGATCAAGTGTCATTTTTCAGTAAACGTTATGAGGGCAATGAATGATTAATTATTATTGTCTTGAAAAACAAAACCTGACCTTTAATCATTGAAAAGTGTATCCAGTAATGAAAGCAAGGTGATAAAAAAGGCCGATAAATGACTGGTAATAAAAAGGCCGATAAATAAAGAACTATCGTGATAATGAATGAACAAGGGAGAATACATATGGCAGAGGTTAATAGACATCATAATAATTACCAGTATTATACTAAATTTAATCATGACACTTCATCTTTCATACATGGTTATATTTTAAAATATATTGATACTTTAAGTAAGGGAAACGGTAAAATATGTTGGATGAATTCAACATTTTTGTCGGAAGATGTACGTAGTCCTGGCTTTTATATCCTTAAAAAAACATAAAAGGTATATTGAACTATATCCAAATGATTTTATTGCCAAAAATATAACCTCTGGGGTGGGAGAACATTATCTTGTACATTTAGGTGTTACATCTTTATATACGAACATTCCACATACAGAGAAAGTATAAGCTTGTAGACATTGTGTGGTGTGGGGGTTTCTTAGAAAGGGCGACAACCAAGATTAGCGGCGATGTCTAAATGCCGTATTTCATAGTGAAATAGTGAAATATAAAATGTGCTATTTATTTAATTATTTTCCAGTAAATATCGAATTAAGCACGAAGTTTGTCATAATAATAGAAATAAAATAAATAAAAAGCCCTG